ATGTTGATTGTGCTTTGGATGAATGATGAGATTGTGTATGGGATAAGCGGTTTGAGATATAAATGAGACCTGTGTTTCATGACAAGTATACTGGCATTGTGAGGGAGCCAGGAGCTTTGTGAACACAGCTATATGGAGATTGTGTTTGTTTGCAGTGCAGATAGTCCATGGACTGTAGTGTTCACATTCCTGACATGCAAGTGATAACCTCAGGGAACTGGATCATTCGAGCACACTCGTTCAAGTCAATAAACATTATTGTCAGGTATTGTGGTTGGCGGGTGCTCTGATATGGTTTGCAGCTTCTTTCCTATCAAACATCTATCGTCCTGATCTCCTCTCCTTCTTTTTGTGTTCATTACGCTCTTGTAACACCTCTAATCTTCGGCACTTGTATAACCATATTGTTTTGCAAGTGCCGTAAAACTCTTACTAAAACAAACTTCTGAAATTGCAGACACATCTTATGATGTGGGAGAAAAATGTGAGAAAAAATGCCTGTTTGATCCCCCCACCCACTCCAGCTCAACGTTGTTTAAAAAAAAATCTAACGCTAATACGGTGTTGCTGTTTGAATGTTTGTCAGGTCACTGATGAGTATTTGGACTTCAAAGGCAAGTATGGCCCTGTGGACAAACTGGACACCAAAACCTTCCTGGTCGGCCCCAAGATTGCCTCTGAGACTGAGGTGAGAACTCGCTGGTGTCTGCTGTTGACCCCAACTGTCTGTTGTTTCATCACGTTTTCTATTTTTATGCTGTGGAAAATTTAACACATGAAGTAATTTATGTGCTGCGGAAAACTGTCATTGACCAATGTAAAAACAAAGTACAGTTGAACATGTTGATCAAAGTACTGTCAAACCTGCTGTAATGGCCACCAGGACCTGTTCAAGATAACCACCTGTAAAAATGCCCTCTTCTCACTTCCCCGTTTGCATTTTTTTCCTATAATTATTTTAGTGACACTATCCAAAATGTTCTTTCTTACACCACCACTTTTCTTCTCGACAATGAGTAGCCATCTTGGACAATTTCAACTGTATAAACAGATAGGTTTTTTTTTTGTTTTGCAGTGGACTATAATACATTCTTTGCAATTGTCCTATTTATTTGTATGAGTGCTATGGGGTATATTTTTAATTTTAGGTACCTGTGTTAAACAATGTATTGCTTTTAGGTGAGCTTGGAGAAAGGGAAGAGCCTGTCTATTGTGACCTTGGCTGTGGGAGATCTGAGTGCCACAGGAACCAGGGAGGTGTTCTTTGAGCTCAACGGTCAGCTCCGCTCTGTCAGGATCAAGGACACAGAGGCACAGAAGGTGAGTGGGTCCCAAGGGATTTGTGATTTTGCTAGGTCTGTTTTTGAACGGCTTTCCTAATACTTGAGTCCTTTCTTGAGACTCTCTGGGTGTTCAAAACATTTTCTCTTTCAGCTTCTCACTTATGACCAGATGTTCCAGGCAAAGTTTTGACTTCGTCTGGATAGTCAGCTTTTCGCTGTGATGTCTTTTGAAAAAACTTTGGTTTGAAGTTGGAGTTGCTCAGCGGGACAGGAATATCTCAGAGAAAATGTTTTTCTGGGTTATGAGGCCATATATTTGAGGACAAGATCAGTCTCCATAGATGTGATGGGTATGAAGCATAGACAGAATAACAGTCAGTAAGACTTTATGTGCTCTCACTTATGGTTATGGGTTGAAATTATTAATTTATTGTTTTCACTCAAATCTAGACTGATCTCTGAACCTACCTGTCGCAAATATGTATAGTTTACACATAGTACCTGTTTTCCTGGTGTAGAAAATCTTATCTTACCAAGCCTGACAGGAGGACAATAGAGTAGCAACTCTGCTTTCGAAAACAAAAATTGCGTTTTGGTTTCTGTATGTTCAGTACTGGAATGTTTGTTTTGAAGACTCTGTGAGTTTAACAAGAGACTGTCTTTAGCTCCCCTTACATCTGTGTTGATCTCTCTACCTCACTTTCCCTCTGCAGGAAATGCATGTTCATCCTAAGGCTCTCCAGGGGGTGCGTGGCTCGGTGGGGGCACCCATGCCAGGCACGGTCATCGACATCAAGGTGAAGGAAGGCGAGGAAGTGGAGAAGGGACAGCCCCTGCTGGTGCTGAGTGCCATGAAGATGGAGATGGTTGTCAGTGCACCGCTGGCTGGCAAGGTCAAGCTGGTGGCTGTCAGCAAGGACATGAAGCTGGAGGGTGACGACCTCCTGGTGGAGATTGAGTAGCATGAGGATTGCCATTCTGCACCGCGTCACTGACCGTATGGTGTGAGCTGCTGAAGTGTTGGGGTGACCGCGGGTTTCTTTGTCATCTTCCCAGGGTGATGTTAGAGCTAGGTGTGAACTCTGCGTATGAGAAAGATGTGATATTTCTGTAAGAGGCAGGTGTGATAATGTTGTGGATGATCCTCAGGACGAGTAGAGTCTGCCTGGAAATTTGTGGAGGTTACATTGATAGAGGCACAGGCAGCTCTGTCATGTTAGTTGTTGATGAAATGTTGTGCAAGTTGTTATTTTGCGATGGTTGTAGACTCTTGATGGTCGTAATGTTGACAGAATGTTATCCATCTTGTAAAATGTTCTCTGGTTGCCATGTAGACTGTTTTTCTTTGTTGCTTCCAAACTCATGCTACTTCGCTGTCCCATTGCTCTGCACAAATACAAAGGTGTAGATGTTTATTCCATCAACTCCCCTACAATGCAATGTCTAGCTGCTTTCAGCACTTTGAACTCTTGGCCATCAGTGATGCTGATCTGTAGACCAACTTCGCTTGGGCATGTGTGAATGTGTGTGTATATATGTGTGCGTGTGTGAACGCACATGCTTGATCACTCCTGCTGAATGCAATACAGAAAAATGATAGTGAGAGCGAAATATGATTGTAGTAATAGTTGTGTGAAGATTTGTTAGAGTAAATTGCCTTGTTGTAAGCAGCTGTGAAAAGGAAGCGTAGTTGTCTTAATTTTTTAAAAGAACATTCTCAGTGTTGAAATCCTCAATGTTTTATAAATGGAGAACTTCTAAGAATTTAACTGTGAATGTACTCAGAGGCTGTCTCTGATGTCTGTATTGGATGATGTTTGCTTACGTTCATGACCATATCTCTGGCTCAACTCCATCATGTGTGCCATGAGTGATTCGCTGCTACTAATTTCTGATTATATGCTCTGAGAAATGTTGTCTTGTTGACTTGTTTTTCTTCTTTTCTGAAAGATCTCGGACAGTGTTGGCTTTTGAAGTGAGAAACAAGGTGTGTTTCATGTTGGTCTGTGCCTCATTTTATGAATTCTTTACTACACTCAAGATTTACATTTTAGTTTATACATTCACAATTTTACATTGTCACTTCACAAATGGGTGTGATATTTGTCCTTTTTCCCAGTCTGTTGGTTGAGATTTCGTTAGGTTGTAGCTGGAAGTCTGTGGGCTCTACAATATTGCCATATATGACATTTGTACTGAATGACATTTGGCTTGCTTTACTGCATAGTGGTGTGAAAGTAGTCGGTAATGCTGGTGATCTTTCCCCTCAAATGCTGTGCAGTGGTAGTGTGGATTTTTGCCTGACCGTGTACATGCTTTACTGTATGTGTTTGTGACTAGTAAATTTCTCATCATGCCCTGCTTGTAAGCACTGCCAACATAAGGTGTGGGAATTTGTTCTTGTATACACTGCCAGTGTGTTGGAAATGTGCTCATGGTGACTGAAAACTTTTGTAGACCTCGAACCCCCACGTGGAGTTTTGCCTGTTTATCTTAGGGCTCTGAACAAATGTTATAATACAATTGTGTGGGCCCAAAATGTGAAGATCTTGATTTGCTTTTTATTTCTGAATGTTTACTCTAGCTCTAAAGTAGATTGGACCATATGATGTCTAAATCTCAGTGCCACTTTTTAATAATACGCATTAGTGATTTTCTAGATGTTTTAGCATTGCTCAAGGCTCTGCCTATTGCATCTCAGTATTGTGAAACCAAGCTCAGGGCTTGTGTTATCTTGTAGACGTAGTTCACAAGGGAATGGTCTTGACCTGACCACGAGTGACCCTCAAGAGTTGTGTTGACCACCAGCCTGTTCATTATTCAGATTTCTTCGATTGATACATATAATATATATATGCATAATAATTTATGGTTTATAGCAGTACTGTTATCAGAGATTTCACATACAAATATTATGAAAAAAACTGGAGTTCTGTGATGGAGATAATTTCATTTTTGTGAAAGATTCAAATATTTGCTGGTCTCTTGTTGTTTGTCTAGATAACTGTCATTCTGGAGATTGTGGCAAATTAAACTCCAACAAAAATTATGGACTGGAGTGTTCTTTTGTTGGAAGTATAAAATATTTGCTTTCGCTTAAAGCAATATTTACTTGTATACCTTTCGAAGCTTCCAATAGGAAATGCATTTTCATTTTTCTCATGCAGCATTAGCATAAGCTTGTGTTGCATCATTTTCTGAACATGTTCTTATATAGAATGTAGGAAACTTTCCACCTCGTTTCATTGTGTCTGGGATGTATGGCTGTATGCCAACGTCAGAACACAAAATGTTACTCACTTCTCTTCAATAAACTGGTGTTCAGTAACTCGCAAAGTGTCACAATTTTCTTCCCTTGGTAGTCTAAACTGTCATTTGTCCTCAGGGATTCCTTACAAAACTTCACTCCCACATATCATCATTCTATTTTTGTCTATCACAAAATATGTTGTGCTCTTTTTTGTCCCCAAACTTTTTGTCTAAAGTTTATTTTTAAGTCTAAGGGCGAGGACAGAGAGGCCACCGAATATGTTTCTGGGTTTTGATGACATATTCGCTTGGCGCCGATCTTTCCGAGGGTAGAACATAAAGGACACATATTTTCAGCACGTTTAGGCTGTTCCTCTGAACTAGATCTAGATTTGACAAGTTGGACTTTACTTTAAGTGTCATGTTGTGAACGGCTTAATTTTTGTTTTTACCTCCATGTAGATTTGCTTGAAATGTATCTGTTTATCCCATATGCAGGCCGTTTGCATACAGCGGAAACCAAGGCACTGTTCACGTTAAAATATTACCAAAATATGTGAACAACTGTGTTTCTTGAACATACACGCACACACTCACACAACACGCTGAGCACACTTCTCAACTCAATAACTTTAACTACAATCTGTGAATTAAAACCCCCCCATTATTACTGATTTTTAAAAATACTTCTCAAACTCAAATTCTGCTCGGTGAACCAGCAGAATTTGGATCGCTGATTTCAAATATCTAATCAGATTTTGTCTATGGCGTTTCCTTGTTGAGATAATGGTCAGTTGAAGAAGTCCCCAGTCCAGCCCTATGACGTCACACATCCGGTGACAGTCCACTGACAGGGCACTCCTTTGCACCGAGAAGCGGCTTTCAGTGAGTAGGAATCAACATTTCATTCCTATAAAATGTCGCCACTGATCCCGCAGATCGGTGGAGAGAGAAGACTGTGTCTCTGTGCGCTTGTAGAACTTGTATAGATGGATTCCTATATTATAACTTACGGTACCTAGTGGTTAGGCGACAGACATCGGCCGCCTTTGTGTTCTCCAACTTAGGCTGAAAATATACTGCCACGCACAACTGAAGTACGCCCCAAAATGGACAAGCAGCTGCTTGGAAGTTGTGATCCCATGCGTCAGCACAACTCCGTCCGACTGTGCAAAAAAACGGCGCTGAGCAGGTGTATACAGCTCAGTGGTCACACCCCCCCCTCCCTTTTTAAAAATAATCTCCACGGCGTCCCAGAACTCCGATAGCAGGGTGAGCCTCTCTGCACGCGGAAAAGAAGTGCTGCATGCATGCACGTCTTTTTGGGTCTTCACGACTCCTCATGTCTAGACGTGTCATGTCAGTGAAATTACCGATGGGAAATAAAGAGGAGGGCACGACTTTTGTGAGGCGCACTTCAGTTGTGCGTGACAGTATATTTTCAGCCTTAAACCTCAAATTGGAATTTTATTTTTCAACAGGGTACCATTATATCACTTGAGGCTCACACTTCAACTGATATTTGAGGTGTAGCATCAGGTGCTTTGCTGTTGTACACAGGAGACTTGAGTTCGATTCCCGGGATGGTGGGGGGGGGGGGAATTTTTTTTGGAGTATCCCTGTGTTTTTGCTAATATCCCTCTCATTTGTGTAATTTGGAGTGTAAAAACCACTGTCATTACTTAAAAAAACACACATAAAAAACCCAAACAAACTTAACTGATTAGTTGTTGATAATCAGACCACAAAAACCTTTGGCTGAAGCATTCACACCACGCTACAGAGTCAGTTGCCAATGGAATGCTCCATCTTTATTTGAGAAACATGGTTATTAATTTGTATTCCACATAAGCCCACATGGACATGAATTGAGAAACATTCAAATTTGTACATTTCATGAGCAGTATGATCTACCAAAAAAAAAAAAAAAAGAGAGAGGCAGTTGTCAAAAACTTTGTTTTTTTAAATAGAAAAACAAAATACCAATGAACATGCACCATTATGTATCACATTTTGAGTAGTGGCTTAGCTCCTAATTCTTTCATTCTAGATAGACAAGTGCTTGTAAAGCAATAAATAACAAATGCATTGAAAATGATATTAACAAAAGGTATCACTTGAACAAAGGATTAATGTTCTTTTCACAGCAGTCAACTTTCTCTCTGCTTCTCCACAGCTAAACTTTCGTCATTCAAAGCATTGTAGGAGTCATCTCCAACTCACTGCATACATATCTCAAAGTCCACAAACACACATGCCACCTGATCACCAATTATATTTACAGTCGGCAACATACAAGCAAATGGTATGAACACTCCCAATCACAAACACACATGTCACTAACAAATGAGCAGTAAGAGAGTTGGACCCACAAAACATGATACACATGCAGTCATTCTTTTCTTTAGAACATAACTGCTCAGTGTAAGACTCCATTATATACGTCACTTTTCAAAATGGCATATGGTGGAGACTTGCACTAAGTAGTTGAGGAGCTAAAAGGAAATAAACACAGGTACACATGACTTCCACAGCTATATAGGGATGAAGTCTTGTGTTGACCTATTCTTCAGTCTATAGCATCTCTTCATGCTTAAGAAAAAACTTTAAAAATTCAGCCTCCTTCTGACACTGTTGACCATTTCACACAGGAAACCAATTTGTAATTTTTGAGAGAGCACATTTCCTCATGTTTATGCAATTTAAATCTCCCACTTCCACCAGTGCGCATACTTTAAACATAAATTCTCATCCTTTGAAAAAGAAAAATGCTTTTGACTACGAAATGTGCAAGTGCATGATGAAAAAGCAGTCAGATGCTCAACTTGTAAGCCAAGAGTATTTTGATGAGTTAAGTTGACTTCTTTGACTATTTAGTCTTGACAGGACCTTGGGATGCAGGAGGACTTCACATGCAACTGATATGTTCAGTCAACTGTTTAGCAATATTGCTAGGGACAAAGCAATCAGCTAAATAAATCTGACCATCTCAAACATCACTTCTAACGTACATAGCTGTGCTATAAACAGACATCTGACAATCATTAAAAAAACATAAAACCAGAGTAAACCAAGCCAGGAGAAAGTTGTAAGATTTTCATAAGTATTTGAGCTCTCAGCACTGTCAGCATTCAATTTCCACTCATCTATGTGTGAACAATATCGGCAAAAAGCAATGAAAATTGTATCTATGTACATGTTATAAGATTATTATATCAAGTTTGTACAAAGTATTCAATGTCTCAAATACAAGAGTTTGTTCCCTCTTTAAATTGCTTCCTTCTTCGAAGTACTGGTAGTTCCACTGACAATTATTTTACGATGCCAACCATCAAAGAAAGGTAAAATAAAGGAAAAAATATATAAAAACTGACCATCCCACACTGAAGACTACGTCTGTGCAACAAACCCTGTCTCTGCAAGTTTTGTTCATCACAGTGTGATCCGGCAGTCCTACAAGTAGTTCATGACACCCCCCCCCCCTCCAGAGAGAGACATAGATAGGAACAGCAGATCAGGCAATTACCTCATTAGTACAGAAGGAAATACTGACCTTGTGACACATGAAATGGGACAATTAGCATGGAAACTCAAACAGGTAGGAGGCAAAGTGTCAATGGGGGAGCGGGTGGGTGGGAACAGCTGTGCTATAAGACTGCCATTCTGTGCCCATGTATTCCCATCATAACATCTTTGCAAACAAAACTGATAAAACATTAAGTTCTTCAGTCAGTATCCTGGTGAGCTAGCCCTAGCCAAACTTTTTTAACTTTTAAAAACTTTCACAGAGCATAACAGACTTGTGAAGAACAGATTTGGGAAATTGCAGAAAGTGTACAGCAGTAGTTTTTGTGGCTGGGCAAAGTATGCATCAAGGAAAAACAAAAACTCCGGCCAAAATACTATACGCAGAACAGGTAATGGCTGACAATATGATAATGTCCCCATCCAGACATCTCATTAGGTTCTTGCTTCCTTATAGCTGTACTTTAAATGTAGGCATGACAATAAGCTGATGGCCCGATCCCCATGTCTGGTTAAGTTTGTTGACTAATAGCAGTAACCATTTCTTTGTCTGGTAGTGTTAACAAGCTCTCACAGCAACACAAGACCTATGAGTACCAGAAGGCAGTTCCTGTAGTCAAGTACCACAACATCATATCCATGGGTTTATGCTCGAAATCATGCACCTTGTTTCTTGGAAAACTTCTCCAACAACCCCTGCTCGAAACTGATTTCAAGACCGTTTAATTTATTGCTAATATCAATGCTAGTAAGTCTGAATGGATGTTTGTCCTTGTTCCGGGGAAATAAAGAGGACCCACAGATTGACCTTGCAATGATTTTAGAGCAAAGGAAGAGTTTACCTTTTTTCTTCCAGTTACAAAGACAAAGTATAACGCCATAGATATTATGTAAAGTGCTGGCCATCAACACTTGGCTAAAACCCTTACAGGGAATGGTGAGGCCTGGAAGTGAGAAATGTTCCTTCTTTACAGTTGTCTCACTTTGAATACATTCACACAAAAGGAAATTAAAATACATCCCCACAGAACCTATAGCATTAGAATAGTATGAGGGCAGTTATTTAGAGACCCCGATGTCCCAGTTTGACCATTAGCAGGAGATTCCTTCTGGTCACCAAAAGTACACCAGCAAGACCTCGTTGAGCTATCACTGTACCCCGAGCACCTCCTTCTCCACCTTGATGTTCGGGTTGGCCATTGGGTCGAAGAATGGGTCATCCTCTGTGGCTTGTCTGCCAAGCTTGGAGAAGATAATGATGATTGTGATGAAGCCGATGATGCCCAGAAGTAGCACCACAGCAAATCTCTTGCGTACTGCATTCGGATCTTTCTTCTTCTGCCCATCAATAGAGCTGTGGACCAAAAATATAAAGTATGTCATATACTTTTTTCCAGCTTTGCTCTGTGGTTAAAAGAAAATTTGGAAAGAACTTTTTCACTCTTCACAGAAGCATATTGTAGCTTTTTTTTTGGCAAAAGACATGCCCATCAATATACAGAGGTCAAGTCATGTTTGAAAAAGAACAGGTCTGGTCAAAAGAGGAATAATGATGGCACATTTGGAATTAGAAAACAAACCTTCAACATATCCAGAAGGCAAAAACATTTTTTTTAAAACATAAAATTAAAATTTTTAAAAATTACAGAAGGAACTTCTGTATTACAACTGACTACCTGGGACAAGATTATACAATATCCTCTTGTAATCAGTCTTGCAAGTGAAAGTGTAAATTGCATGAGCGATGTATATTTCTTATTTTTCCCTGTTGATGAGATAAATAGTTAACAGGAAATGGTGGACATGGCCACACTGGGCACTTCTCATTGTGTAAGATAAAGCTCACAAAGAAGTAAAACTACCAGGGAAGCCAGTTGTTTGTAGTTGTGACTGAACACCATTCTGCACACCATCACCTTGTGTGAGAGCTGAAAAGCAGATCAAGATCGGCTTGTCAGGATTGGGTCCCAAAGGTTTTTTGTGTGTTTTTTTTGGTCCAAATAAATGAAAGCGAGCGGAATAGGACAAAAGACAAACAGGGATCCCAGTCAACTCTGACTTACTTGAACCAGCGAGCTAACCACTGCAGAGCAGGTCGCCGCTTGTACTTGTCTTCATCGTGGTCATGTGACCTCCCTGCATCCTGAAAAACGTCATCATCCTTGGTGGTGTCAAACAGTTTGCGAGGGTCTGTGAGGAACAAAAAATCAATTAGCGAAAACTATAAGAGCAAACCTGAAACAGTATTCTTTCTTCTCCTTCTCATCCATCTTTCCATGGACATTCCATTCTCTAGTGCAAGAGACCCTAAACAATTATAACAATTACTGGAAGAAAAATAGCTATGATCTTAATCACACTTCAACATTTTAAATACATCATACTTAGTGCAATAACTTTCATAATTTAGTTAACAGTTTGTACCATTATTTTTGTTTTGAGTTTGGGAACAATTTTAAAAGCAAAGAAACTCTCCCTTAGCAAGAAAGTTTTCTCTTTCCATCAGAATTTACAAGATCCCCAAGTTCTTTTCTTTTACATGAAAAACACTTCTGAACATGTTGCGAAAACATGACTTCCCACACTACTATACAAATTACACACCAGATGGACAACAAAAAGCCTAGAACTAGAAGTGAAAGGACTGATACTTAGTTATAGCTCTCAAGGGAAACTTATCAAGATAAATATCCTCTTAGGATCATTCAATAGTCAATTCCTTACTATAGTCCAGGCAATGCCAAATGGACAACTTGTTGATCTCATTACACCAAATCTAGTGGCGAGTCTCTCTGATTTTTTGCATGCGCCTCTGAATTCAAAAGGATTTTTAAAAATCTTGATTTTCGTGCGTATGCGACAAATATAAAGAGGTGCTGTCTATATAATCGTTAGTCATTAATTGTTTATTAAGCTCAACACTGCGCACTTTTTATAGCAAGCATGGTACCACGCTAAAACCATAATGATACAAGGGTGTCGTTTCAGGGGCTCAGCTAGAAATTTTAGGGGGGGGGGGGGGGGGAAAGAGAGAGATATACAGTTTGGTCAAACCCAAAACCAGGCGCCGACAGAGTGCTAAATTTGAAGCACTAATAGGCATGTCACTGGGCACACAGATTCAGTGTAATGAGGTCAACAAGTTGTCCATTTGGCATTGTCCAGACTATAACTCTAACTACCTGCAGCATTTAGATGAAAAGAATCAAATAGGAATAAACACGTTTGTTTAACAATAGAAGAAAGAAATATTGACATGACAACATCCTTTAAGCACATAAATCTTAATTTCATAATTGTCAAGGCTCCAACATAAGCATTTAGCTACAACCAGGAAAACAATATGCAGAGACAACAATGGTAATCACTAGGACAACAACTTGGAAGGCATGCCGAGAGCTTGGTCTTGTCTCACACATACCTTTCCCAGCTGAAAATGGAATCCGCTTCAGCCATTCATCTCCACCCCACAATCAAAAGAGAATAGATAAGTAAAGAAGAAAACAAACCCCTTGTCAGTTAATAAAAAAAAGAAATAAACATGTTTTAATAATGAACACCCCTTTCCGTGGTAAAAGGGATATATCTACTTCAGCCATATTTACCCCCCCCCCCAACAACAACAACTTCCAGATTCTAGCCCATTTATCAAAGCAAAGTTAATATTGTATTAAGGAACTGGAGAAGCAACTTACTGGTGAACTGGACAAATCTGTCCTGTCCTCTGACAGAGGTACCTTCATCCACGCTGATCACACTGTGCTGGTTACTGCTGTAGCCAGGTGGAGTTGCCAGATAGGGTGCCACCTGGGCACTGGGTCTTCCCCCAGAGGTGGTTGTCCCACTGTTTGGAGCTGGTGACACACCGAGACCAGACACATAGCCCAGGGTAGCATCTGACCTCAGCTGACTTCCTGCTTGTCCATTGCTTGTGGCTGTCAAACTCGTTGCGCTCTGAGACGAGGGGGGAGGAGGAAGTGGAGCCTCTGACTCCTCTATCTGTGGGACATGAGTATGTGTTTGTGAGTTTGGAATATTCTCATTGTCTTTACATTTACAGGCAAAGGAAATAATTATAGCATAGAAATGCAAGATTCTAATCTTTGACTTTTGAGGTTTGGAAAAATATTGCCGTCTTTGAACTAAGAGTACATAGTAAGTGATGGGATGGAAAACACTGTCACTGGAAGTTATCAAACCTCCTGGCTGTTCCATTCTTTGACCTCTTGAACAAGGACATAAAAAAATCAGATCAGAATAAGTTTCAAAATAGCAGTGTGAACCCTTCCAGTGGAGTGAAATCATGAATACAAATAGTCCATTTCACCCCATACAATAACTTATGATATTGATGATAGTTTCAAAGAGCAGAAGAAGGCCACTGACCAGTGGTAAGCCAAGACCTGCCCGGGCCCAGTTGACTTGCTTGAGGAGAGACCGGAGTGCATCTGCCACTGGTGAAGCCAAGTTGGTCTGGGGAAAGATGCAGCTGTTGCACAGAGGGCAGGTGTAGCCAGCAGGGGCTGTATGGGCTGGGAACTGCTGTGCATACTGGTTCAGGCATGACCAGTGGAACACATCTGGGGGAGGACAGAAAGCTTGGTATGGAACATGCCTGTGTCATACCTGTGTCAATGGACTATTAGAACCAGATGACAGAAGTCACAACATTTAGAAGATGTCAATGTGTTCACAATCTGGAGGAAACTTAAAATGGATAGAAATCACAACACATACCTGGAATGTAAACAAGTATGAAAACTTGTGACTGTAATGGTTAGGAAATCAAATCAGTCTTTGTTGACATTGATTTAGCTTTTAATTGTTTTACAAAGGAGTAACTAAAATAACATTAAACCGGAAAACATTTAAAGATAATACAGTCCATGCCGGCTTTAAGCACGGTCGTCGGGAGAAAGCTTAAGCGTGCTTAAAGCCGAAGCGTGCTTAAGTGCGAAGTAGACATAATCCAGAGATTTTCATGTAGAAAATTTCCCGTGCTATTTCCCTTCGTTTGTAAGTAGGCCTATAGCGGTCCCGCAAAAGTGTGCACTGTTATTTAGACACCCGCCATGGTAGTTTTTGTTCGCTTGTTTGTTTTTGTTTTTTAGTCGAATGGGAAATGAAAACTTAATTTAGACGGCCAGTCACGATACGGCACACTAGGCCTACACACTGCCTGTGCGTACCACTGCCCGCTGTGCCACTCATACCACCGCCTTCATCCCACCTCGCGCGTGATACACAATCAGGATTAATGGATAGCGAGGGTCAAAGGTGAAATCGCAGCCAGCCCCCCTTTCTCGTCTCCCTGACTCTCTTTGTATTTTTTTGGTCGTGTGTAGCTTTGCCCTAGGCCTAGGCTAGATCCTATGTCCTAGCGCGCGGCTGTGTGCATCTGCCTTCCTCTCCGCCCGTGTGAGTGTGTGTGTCCATCACTTGCGTTCTTTGTGTTTCTCTTGACACACTCCACTGCTGCGGTGTAGACTGCGTTCGAACTTCGATGGGTCATCATGAAAATATTGACTGTCTTGTAAATGAAGCGTGCTTGAAGCCGAAGTTACCGTGCTTAAAGGCGTGTAATTTATATAGCAAAAATTCTGTAAGAGCCGTTTAGCGTGCTTAAGTCCGAAACGTGCTTTAAGCCGGCGTGCTTAAAGCTGGCACGGACTGTACTTATCTTTATTTTTACAAAATATTTATATCATTATGCAGAGATCAAGTGTCTGTGGCTACACTGACCGAAAGCTGACTTACCATAACAAGACAATCTGACACACTCCCCACATTCCTCATCTGACAGACCACGATTGCACAAGGTACACAGAGGGCTGTAATCGCTGTCCTGAAGCCATTGCAAGTAGGACTTAACAATACACTGTGGAGGACAAAGCATTCTCAGTTGCAGAACTTTTCATCAGACAATCAATAATTGTGAAACCACAGTGCAATTAGAAAAATCAGCCGTATTATAACCCTCCCCCCCAGGTAAAATTCCAACTTCCAAGCACAAATCAATACAATACTTTTGACAATAGGGTGATTATTCTAGTGTACAACACTTAATTCAGAACTGATGGATTTGGGCAACATTATAAGAATATAAGTAAGATTCAACTTCCACATTTACCAGTATAACTATGATTTTTAGTAATTTTATGTTCTCTCGTTAATATAATTTTATGTGAGGCAGCAAGGTGAAATCAGGCGCTCATCAAAATAACGAAATTCGAAAAACAGGCATTTTCCTGGCAGTTTGGAAATTTTGATTGAATTTCTATTATTAAGCTTAACCTCTGTCATGTCAATATTATACAAAAATACATTTCCAGGTGAATTTTACTGAAAGAAACTTGATTAAAGGCACATAAGATGTTAATTTTTAGTTTTCAAAAAGTCTTTAGCTTGAACAACGACCCGTTTAGAACTGCTCTGGTGTCAACAAATGGGACCAACCACTTTGCAATGACTATTTTCTTGCCAAGACCTTTGGTCAATATTCAGTGAACTGTTGCACTGGACATGCAGACTATTTCACTTATTTCCCTGCATGGTTTTCATATATCTTCCTTCACCACAGCTTTGATTCTCTCTACACTGTTGCCACAAATGACAAATGGGGGCTTCCCAGTGTGCGCTTCATCTTTCATGTCAGACCTCCCACCTTCAACCTCCCTGATCCATTTTCTTACTGTTTGAATTGATGGGGCATTATTCTCTTTTACTTTGCATACATCAACATGGGTTTCAACTGCAGACTTGCCAAGAAGAGATGAAAATTTAATTACAACTCAAGACATCGTAGCGTGAGAAGGTTGCATCATTCATTTTACAGAGGAGGGAAACTTTATTCTGAGACAGACCTAGTAAACAATTATTTCTGGTTTGAAACGATTACTTTTTGTTGTGCATACGTTGCAATGTTTGATGCGCGGTGAGCAAGAGGGATAATGAGCTGTGAGAGAGAGCACCCGCCTACCCCTAAACTAGGTCCTAGGCCCTACTAGACCTATGTTTCATAGTGGTCGCTCGTTACGAAATTCCTCTCTTATAATAAAGGAAAGACTTCCATTTTATTCTGGAAGTGTCTATTCTCATCCTGGGTGAGAATAAAAATATGATCCACCTCTCACCCCTGGTGAAACTTGCCAGCATTGGCTATTCTCACCCGATGTGAAAAAAGACCTCTGTTTTTCCTAATTTCTGAATACTGTCTATCAGTGTGGATGATCAGATTGACAAAAAGAAAAAAATGATGATATAATAGCACAAAAGTAAACTAATCTGGTCGTCTTACAAAGATGGGTAAGATTGTATTTTACCGGACCACCAGTAGCTGCCGGTCGGGACTACTTTCGCTATGGCGCCCCTGGTGCCTAGTGGTCCGCTATTCTTCCTTCCATGGCTCCCCTACTCACTCTCCTGCTCACTTTTTTACGTCCTCACCCTACGACTGCCAACTACCCACTGACGTCTCTTACCGTGTTTTTCAGCAATCACGATCGTATCCATCAAAAGGTTAACCACAGCAAACACTTTAAGGACCCAGAGACTGGCACTCACACTAATAATATTGAAAGTACGTGGCACAGTCTAAAGAGGAGCAAAGGCACCCTTGAAAAACACTTTCGCAAGTTACTTTGCGGTTACTTTCCGAGCATTCACTGCCTCCATTGGTGAAGTATACACGATGGCAAAGGCAGTAACTGCACTGCAGTAGATGTGGCCCACGAACTCAAAATTAAAATTGAAACGTATGGCCCAGTCTTGAAGCTCATCCAAGTCCACTGTTGATATGATATAAAATGTAAACACCGTGGGTCCACAACACCCCATCCCCTTCTCACCCTCAACCACCACTACTTCTCGCTCACCTCACTTCGTCACTGGCTTGCGCACTGCCGCCCGTGGAACTACTTCTTGTCTGTGCGTAGAGAACTATTAGTGCGTCGTTAGGCTAGGCGCATGAAGTAATCACGGGTCCATACAGGTAAAGTAAAATCCAGGCCAAAGATGTTATGGCTATTTCACTTTTTGAATCAAGCCGAACTATACTGGTCGCCATTTTGTTTTGCCCCGGCAGTTCTCCCTACTCCTTCTCTCTCTCTCTCTCTCACTGCCTGCAGACAAAATTTCACGGTTTCAACACAAGAGCGCTGGAATGTTTGTTAACACTGGCATCACGGTGAACGAACACTGGATGAGAATAGCCATAGCAATGCCCACCGAGCGCATTTTGTTCTGCCGATTTTTGGCCCCCGCAGCGGGGGTGTTTCATGGGACGCACTAACGCAAAGGTTGTTGTCTTCAACTCGCTCTCACGCCGCTTCTCGTGAATGGATATGAATGAAACTTGGCAGCCAATCAGAAAAGAGGTCAATCTCGTAGTATGCAGTTTGACAACATTGTACCCATCCTAGAAGCAGTCGAAAACGTTTGCGAAAGTGGTTGATGTGGTGCGCTTTGAAGGTTTTTCGGAGCTGTGATTTGTCAAACTGACTGATACGTTGTACACCATTTTTCTTTATTCCCTTAAAATTTCATGCTTCTGTGTTTAGCGGTTTTGGCGTAATCTTTAAAAATGTGGGAGTAACTAAGGAAAAAAGCGACATTGCCATTTGCGCGTGCTGGGTGAACGGCCGGCGGCGTGGAAATTTCCACTGAGTGACGTCATCAACCATCGGTCGCCTCGGGCGCTACAAACGAGGCCCCGCTTATGTGAAATGGAAAGGGGGGGAAGGATACTTGAAAACTAAACGGGGGCCTTGATAACTTGCGTTTTTGTTGCATTTTAGTCACAATACAATAGATGTAGTCATTTTTATTTGCTTGATTGCATGACAGAAGAATAGAAACAGAAAAGCAAACATCTTGAGAAGTGGTATGGCATTGTGTTTGCGTTATGAAAGCCTATTCCCCCCTCTTGGGAAAGCACACACTTGGACTCGTCCTGTGTGCTCTGTTTGGGAAAAGTGAGGCATTAATATTGTTATTAAAGAGTATGGTACTTATTTAGTCCAGTCTGGGAAGATAGTCCCGTTTATACATTGTTATCGTTCACGCGTGCGTGCGTGAGTGCGCGCGCGTGAGAGAGAGAGAGAGAGAGAGAGAGAGAGAGAGAGAGAGAGAGAGAGAGAGAGAGAGAGAGAGAAAGAAAGAGAGAGAGAGAGAGAGAGAAGGGGGGGGGGTGTAAATATGTTACATTTATTGTATGAGTTGTAGCCTACACATGCGAAATATTCCCATGACTTGTAAACTATATTATCTGAACGCATCTTAATCTACCACACAATAGGACACTGTCCAACAATGGATGTACACAGAGACGATCTTATTTTCTATAACAAAGTATGCATGCTTTTACTAGTACAAAACTGGATTTATTAGTAGCTCTCTACTTACATTTTTGTGACAAATTGATCCAGAATATTGCTTGGCAAGGAAGAACCTTTTATGTTGCCAAGTTTCATTCAAATATCATGACTTTGGGAGAACATATGACTGATAATCTTTGTAAATCTGTAAAGAACGCCACTTTTTTACCTGTTAATGTCTTTACAACTCAAAAAGTATGACAGATATTAAAAACCTGACTGCATGGCTAAATTCTGCATTAAAAAATGTACTAGACTGCCAAGTTTCATTTACATATTCCAAGAAATAGGCGAGCTATGACAAATATTGTCTCAAAACGCACCGAAAAAGGCCAACATTTTTACCTATAAACGTCTTCATAACGCAAAAAATAGGATAGCTATGAAAAATCTGAAAGCAGGACTAGATTCTGCACTAGAAAATGTACTGGGTTGCCAAGTTTCTTTTAAATACCAGAGAAATGAGCGAGTTATGACGAATATTGTCTCAAAACTCACCAAAGAACGTCCCATATTTTGGGGTTTTTTCATTATATAAAAGTGTACCAGAAATTAATTGATTAAAAAATCCGTAACTTTTTTGTTTATTGATGGATTTTAAAAATTCAAAAAGTTCTATGCTCAGTGAAGATAAAGCTACAAAATGCACATATTTGCAAACATTTTCTGGCAAAAAAAGGATTTTCGTGGTCATTGCTAATAGCCAAGAGACTTGCCCTATCTCTCAGAGTGATCAGCTTGAGCCTATACACTAAGCCAAGCAGTGAACGCATGCACACCGGGTGAGAATAGCAAAAGGCTTTCCCTCTCACTACTCTCACCCCTGTGGCCTGTGGCTGTGAGAGGCCTACGCGCTATTCTCGGCCACCTCTATTCTCACCCGGGGTGAGAATAGTGCAGGCGGGTCTTGTGGCTATTCTCACCCGGTGCGCGTGTCAACAAATTTTGCGTTCACCCTAAACCACAGAATTCTACACTGTGATAAGAGAAAAATTGTAGAATTCTGTGCTGTGAACAAACGTTCCATTACAACTGTACTTGTAGCCTACTAAAAGCGTACAATTTTGTCTGTGGGCAGTGGAGAGAGAGAGAGAGTGAGAGAGAGAACAAAACAAAATGGCGACCCGCGTAGTTCGGCTTGATTCGAAAAGTTAAATAGCCGTAGCATCTTTGTAGACAACCAAATTAATTTACTTTTGTGTTTTAACATCATTTTTTAACTTTGTTTTGGTCAATTTGATCGTCCACACCGATAGACAGTATTCAGAAAGAGACAGAGAGAGAGAGAAGAGGGGAGGAGTAGATCTTGCAAGAACTTCCGGGCGGGTGAGAATAGATCTAGCCACTTTCCTATTCTCACCCTAGGCCCTAGGCCTAGATGGTATAGATCTACTATTATACAATAATAGTTATAGAGTTACTATTCTACACAATAGCCTCTAGTCTTCTACTTCTCTAGCGATCTAGATATCTAGATCTGATCTACAATCTAGAACTAGAGTCTATCTAGTCAAGAATAGAGACCTGGAGGTAGAGACTATTATGAGAGATCAACTTACCTGAGGATGGTTGGCAACAAGACAATGTTCACACACATTGACTCTGTGTTCAAAGCAAAACAGATTGGTCACTTTCCGCTTGGGACATTTACACAAACCCATGGTTAAGCACAACAATAAAAGAGACTTCGAAAAGGTAGGTCCGAAATCACTGACAGTCAGAACACAAAACAGTTGAACTAACTACGACTCATCAGTAGCGGCAGCCATGTTAGTTTACTGCGTGGAGCTTGGAGTGGAAACGGAGTACGACATAGTCTAATAAAAGAAAAAATGTATTGAAAAGAAATATAGATCTGTAATATTTCTTACCAAAAAATAAATTTTCAGACATTTAAATAATTAAATCACCTCAATCTGTCTGAACATTTTTTGTGAAAGAGAAAACACCCATTCTGTTTCGGCAAAATAAAACATAGATCTAAATCTAGACCAAACCAACAAATGCAAAGGAACTGAGCTTCCTACTTCCGCTATCATTGTTTAATCATGGCGGTAGTTTGAACGGGACGTTGCTATGAACCTCGGTAAGCATAATTTAAACCGTGCTCTGCCAACATATGTTCAATGTTCACCAAATGAGAGCTTGTCTCATCACTGTTTTTAAAGTGCATTCTCTTTAGAAGTTGAATGGAAGCTATAGATCTATATTCGTAGGTTATTATCGAACTGGAGGCAAATTCTATCTCCCTGTGACTGTGCCCTGTCCCACTCACACTGTCCCGGCCGTCAGTCACACAGACAAGAAGTCAAGAAGCGGATAGTTAGAGAAAGTGTTAGGTAAAAGGAGTAGGCTACGCCATTGGCCGATATTTATAGTAACAGCCATCTTATTTGTGTCATCATAAAATAGGGCCTAGTGCTCTTCATTCTGACAAAAGACAAAAGAAGTTCCCGACCTACTGTCTCACTGTCTTTGTGTGTGTAAGGTGTGAACAGGGGGGCATGGAGGGTTTTAAAAAAATTTTTTTTAGTCTTTACTTAACTCATTCGCTACGTATTATTTTCGGCTTGTGGACGAATTTTTTTTCCGGAGGACGAATTTTTTTTCGGGAGGGCGAATGAGATGATGACTAGTGGGCAGTTAAATGTCTTTGGGGCCACAAATTCAAATAAATATCAACTAATATTTTCAGTATGGTTTGTTGAATACATCTGTAATGTTTATTTATGTATTTTTCAACTTTGGGTCCTGTAAGAGACGATTATGCAACACAATTATGATTGGATGCGGATAAAATTTGAAAAAAAAAAATTAATAATCTTTGGTGAAACTCAGAAAATATCTTTGCACCTAGATCTAGATCTAGATCTAGATCTAGATTTAGATCTAGAAGTAGATACATCAAAATAACCATAAATGAATATAGAACTGGAAAATATTAAAAAGTTTGCAGTTATTTACCTACATTCCATAATATTTGTACATTTTGAACCTAACATCTGATATTGAAAAAATTAAAAAAAAAAAAAATTTTGAAAAACGATCACAAACAGTGAAAACCCCACTCGTATCTTATATAGAATTATTCAGAATTGCATTTGGAATAAACCTATACATGTCTTGAGTGGCACTTTTTGTGTAATTTCATCAAAAAGTAGTGATTTTGGGGAGAAAAAAATATTTTGACAATTTAGATCTAGTTCTAACACTCAAAAATATTGATTTCTCAATAACAGTCCATTGGCAATATGAGTCCAATCGTATCAATATGATAAAAAAGAGTCCTACATTTCTTTAGGGGGCAAAATAATTATAGATTTTGTTGTGTAAAATTACTAAGACTGGTGTCCGGGCTATAAATTTTGGCATTGCGGTAAAACAAAGTCGAATAAACTACGAAATCGCGTTTCAAAACTGAATCTAAATTTCCGATTTTCATTGGAAATGCTTGACCCGGAAGTCAACATTATATTATTATGACCTTTATTTTAACATGGATATGTGGATTGGAATAGAATCTAAGCTAAAATTGAAGATCGGTTCTCGAGCCGCCAGGGGCGGCTTAGCGTACTGACGGCGCTTTAGCCGTGCCGCCCCCCACGGCTCGGCGTAGCGAATGAGTTAATGGGTGACTAAATGCAAAGTAAGTTACTGCAAAAGTCGAGCAGTCTTGTTTCTGTGCATTGCCTTTTGAAGGCATTTTCAAATGAGGTATAGTCCGGGAACATTGCCCCAACCACAATTGATGTATCTGAATATTTTTAGACATCTAAAAATCTCTAGCTCTAGAAATTGAATTTGATGAAAAAAATGCTTTTTCCCAGTTCATGCAGAATGGCAAAATGAAAGATGACGCCGAACTCTCGCAAATAATTTTAAAAATCTAGAGAATGGAAACCGTTCGGAGAAATAGAGATCAGGTTTATTTTCTCGAGAGTTCGGAGTAATAGATCTAGTCACTTTGAAAAAAAAATGTGGAGTAAAAAAATAAAGCTTTTTTTTTTCATTTGAGCAAAGTGTTATATGATAATGCTCATTACATTATGTATGTTAAAGAATAGGTCAAACAAGATGGCTGATATTATAGGTCTAAATATCAGTCAATGGCGTACTCCTAACGTTCTCTAACTATCCGCTTGTGTCACTCGATAGCCTACTCACAGCCTCAGACTTATTTAGCCGGCTATCAGGCCAGCTCTCAGGTCCGAATATAATTTTGATCTATTCGGACTGTAGTCTGAAAAAAGCATTGAAAAATATTTATTCAGACTCAACTTCTAAGTGAATATAGTGAGTGTTGGGAGGTTACATATATAACTGTCGTCTGGGGATTTTCCATAAAACCAGAATTAGAACTAGAATTGCCTACTAGGACTGTGTAATTTGTAATTGTGTCAAAATTCAAAAGACTGCACTCTCATTAGATCTACCCTAATGGCAGTGTCTAAGCACACAGTAACCGACAACTCAGGGTCTTTCTTTCTACCACCGCTACAGGATCATCCTTTCTTCCACCACCATTTGTCTTTCCACATGTTTAATTTGTTTTGTTGTGTGTTATAGTGTTTCTGTAATTTTTTTTTATCACATCGCACAAAACCGATGCCCTCTTCCCAACACCTCTTCCCTCCAACAAGCAGAGAGTGCGTGATCGCTACGCGCAGTCTCATTGATCAACATTTGCCCCCGGCAAGATCAGCTCAACTTACAGGGTTCCCGCGGCCTCCTTGAATTCAAGGAGTCCTTGAAAATGAAAACTACTTGAATTTGCATTCAAGGAAAAATGTCCTTGAAAACCCCTTGAATTTTGCCAGATCGGACAGGAACACAGGGTGACTGTCAGGCCCCGGGAATCCCGGGGGCCCCTGAGTTCATTTTTGCCGGTCGCGGTTGTGATACAATATTCATTCGGCTTTTCCCGGCCCGAGAGTACGTTACCCGCGCACAGGCGGTTATGCCGGCAACTAGTGGAAGTGTATGTGCGATACCGAAGCTCGATCGGGAAAATCAAGATCTGCTTTCGCTTTTGTTATCGCCCAGAACTTTGCCGGTAGGGCCTATAGTAGTCTGATAACGCCACATTTGTAACATGCAAGCTCTGCATTACAAACGCGGTGTCGTCATGAAAATAAATCATTTGTCCTGTGCTGTCGCTTGTGAAAAAAAGAAAGGAAAAAAAATTATACTACAAGCTTCTTGTCGGGCTCACCATCGTGACCGGTCATTGAACCTGTGCGTTTTCGTCATGTCGTGAGTAGGCTATCGGCGATGGTTGAGGTCACCAAAGTTCATGCAAAGTCTGAGCGCTGCGAAGTATAGGACTCGGGAATGTGGGTGTTATTGTTTTGTTTTTTTAAGACACACGCGGGGGAGGGGGTTGGTGGGATGGGGTTGAAGGCACACCGGATGACAAAAACTGAACTTGGAAGCAGATTTTACTTTCCGGAATTTTGATTGCTATTTGATCTAAATCTAGATTTTGATCTCTCTGCAAAGCGTGCGTTGGTGTAGGCCCTGTGTGGAATCAGGATCTGTCTCACTCAAACCTTGTAAGCCGTGTTTTTTAAATTTTTTTATAAAGGGTTCTCGTTTCATTGGGCAGGTGATAGTAAATTATATGTTATATGTATTGTACTAGATCTATATTCTATATTTTAACTTTCTGCTCAAGATTCGCAGATTTTCAATGTCACTGCATCTTGCCCTCCCACAGTTAGTTCTGGCACCTCTCACACTGAATCTACTTGAGCCATTCATGTTATTACTCTACTTTGAGTTTGAGCTATAATTTTTGTCTTTCACGTTTATTATATAAACTTTGACTCCCAAACAGGTTCTTGAGGGTCGATATTCTGGTGTTCTAAATCTAGACCTTTTCTCAGACTCAAAGCAAGATTCATATTTATATAGTATAGTCTAGTTTATATAGGCGAATATGATGAGGGGAAAATATAAATAAGTATAAGATCAGACTGAAATACCTAAGTCATACAGTATCCCAGTGCCACACTGACATGTAGTTGACTGGATATAATGTAACTACATGTGTGCGCGCGCGCGTGTGTGTATATTATATTTAAAATGTAAATGGAGCATGCACTGTCATTGTTATGTAACATGCCCCTGGAGAATGGATGAGCCCTCCTGGAAAATTGAGAAGCTGGATTGGCAGTCACCCTGGGAACAGTTTTTGTTGGAAATCGAAACTATATGATTCCTTTCCGACAAGTGTAGGCCTATCGAAAATAGGCTTTCGTCATTAATTTCTTGACCAAACCTCCTTGAATTTTAAAAATTTCTCCTTGAAACCTCCTTGAATTTGATGGGAAGTTCATGGCAGGAACCCTGAACTTAATCGTTCTTTTCATACTAATGATGCAGGGAGGACCAGTTCAGATAGATCTAGTAACTGGATATTAAAGCTCACGTCTCGATTGTTATCATTATAATGAAAAAAAAATTCATAAATGCTTGAAAATCAAGCTCCTTATAAAAAGTTTTCAGTATACCTGATACGAAAGTGTTTCCGACACCAAAAATATAGGTGTGTTAATTTAGGTGTGCAAAGTTCAACGTTTTCATATCATTAGTTTGCCCTGTTTTCTGGTCGGTTGCCAAATTTAATTCAGATTGGTCCAGAAATAGAGCAGACCGAGTTTGAGAAAGTTAGTCACTTATAAATTTTTTGACCTGGTCCAAAAATTCACCCACAAATGGGGACCAAATTTCGTCACGCGTGGAAGCCTGAATGGCATTGCTACCCAATGTACAACAATACAATAACACGTTTATTGAATGTGCGCTAAAAGAAAATTGCGTAGACAGTTTGGCACAACCCGTGATCTCTTCCTATCCCATTTCTTTGAATTTGTTTTTTGTAACAGGTTTCGTAATGAGGACATATTTCTTCTTTCTTGTCATGCTAAAGATACAGCTGACAACTATCTCCCTGATCTATAATGTGAGTAATAAAACATTACCACACCCTAACTCGCCAGGGATCGCCCAGGAATTTCCCTAGGCGCTCCACCCTCACTCGCCCAGAATCGCCTGCTCCGACCAGGTGTCTTTAGAAACGAAGTC